CCTTCAGACATGGCCACAGGCCAGTCCAATAGAGGCAATTCCCCAACTGAGGCTCCCTCAACCCAGGTGTGGCAAGTTGACACTAAAGCTATCCATCACACCTGGCTATTTTTTCAAAACTGTTTTCTGACTAGAAACTGAATCTCTCTCCTACCTTGACTCAGATGGCAATTTTTGCAGGCAGTAGGGAAACTGGTAGTCACAGCTCCCGAACAGCAGGTTCTCTTCTGTAAATGAGACAGTAGAAAATCCATTATATAAGTAAGGGCAGATCTGGAGACTTCAAGGTAACCAGCCAAACTCAGGACCGATGCAATTTAAAAACTGGGAACCTCAGAAGCACTCTGAATAAAACACGTAGGGGAGTGGCTGGGGAGATTGCTCAGTGGAGAAAGCACTTGCTGCGCAAGTGTGAGGGCCAGACGTGTAAGCGTGGGTGAGCATGGTGTCCCTCCTGTAATCCCAGTACTCAAGAGGTAGAGATGAGATCCTGACTAACTAGACTCGCTGAAATGGCAAACTCTGGGCTCAAGTTCAGTGAAAGACCTTGAGTTGGTAAATAAAGTGGAGAATGATCAAAGGAAGCACCCAAGGTCAGCCTCTCAACTCCATACCCACATGTACACAGGTGAACATGTGCTCATACACATGCTGTCCTACACATGTGAACACTTATTATCTACACGTATACAGCTACACATGCAAGAAAAAAAAGGAACACATAAGGGAAACAGACTAAAAGATGCAGAGTTGGGAGTCAGTTTGTATGAGACACAGAGGGAACTGACCACCAAGCCAAGTCACCACTTTCTATAAAGGATGGGTCTCTTTAGGAGGATTATGAGTTTGAGACCAACCTATGCTGCATAGTGAGACTTCATCTAAAACAAAACCAAAACAAAACAAAACAAAAAACAATAAACCCCCTGAACATTTCAACACTGGAATAACAAGGGTAGGAACCATAGACCTCCACCCCAATATGTTTGTTTTTAGTGAAATTACAAAATAGGGGCTGGAGGTATAGTTCAGTGAGAAGAGTGCTTGCCATACACTCAGCCCTGGGTTTGATTACCAGCACCACACAAATTTGGCATGGGGGCATATGGAAGTGATCCTAGCACTCAGGAGGTAGAGGCAGAATTAACAGAAGTTCAAGGTCATCCTTGACTACATTAAGGCCAGTCTGGCAAATCTTTCTCAAAAAAGGGGGGGGGGGACTAAAATCTTTAGTTTCCTTGACTATTCCATCGGGCTTGACATCATCTATAACTCCAGTTCCAGGGGATTCAACACCCTTTTCTCATCTCTACAGGCATTGCCTGCACAAGGAAGCAGTTACATACATGAAGGCAACACTCATACATGTAAAGTAAAATAAATAAAAAAGTTTTTTTTTTTAAGAAACTGGTGTCACAAACATGACTCAGCAGTTAAGAGCACATACTGCTCTTGCAGAGGACTCAAGTTGTATTTCCAGGATTCATGTTGAGCAACTTACAACCACGTGTGATAGACTATATGAATTACAGAAGAGCCACAAACCTCATTAGGGAAAGCCATAAATCCCATAGAGTGTCTAACTGGCCCTAAATGGGTGGCCTGGCCTTGCTCACACTTTATCAGTTGGTCACTCCCTGGACTGAAACTGTTTGTGGAGCCCACCTGTTTCCTCCAGGGTCATGTATCTAAGTTCAGCTCCAGGGAGCCATCTCTGGCATCTTTGGCAACTAGCACTCACATGCATATATACCCAGTTTGCTTTCTTTTTTTCTTTCTGTGATAAACACCATGACCAAAATCAACTTGAGGGAGGAAAGGGTTTATTTCAGCTTACACTTCCAGGTAATAGTTCACCCTGGAGGGAGGTAAGGGCAGGAATCTGCAGAAGAAACCAGGCAGGAAAGCTGCCTACTACCGCCATCCTTGGCTCATTTATGAATTGGATGAGAAAGAGGATATGGAAGAGAAGAGGGGGGGAGAGGAGAAGAGGGGGAGGAAGAGGAGAGGGAGGAGGAGGAGGGGGGAGGAGAAGAGGAGGAGGAGGGAAAGGAGGAGGACTGTGTGTGTGCACACATACAGAGGAGGGGAAGGAGGAGAAAGAAAAGGAGGAGAAAGAAAAGAGCTGCTGCTTTCTGGCATTGCGCATGCCCAAGACATGAACAACATTTCCCACAAGCCACTGGGCAGGACGCCACCGGGGCAGAGAGAGGCATGCTGGGAAAGAAGAGAGGAAAGAAAAGGGGAACGTGAGGGAAAAGGATTTGGGGGTTGGAAGGGAAATTTTGGGTGGATATAATGAAAATACATTGCATACATGTATTAAATTGTCAGAAAATAAAGATTAATAAAAAGCAAAAAATGATGGTCCAGCTCCGCAGATTCGAGAGTGCGACTGTATTTCCCAGAGGCCTCTGCGGCACAGCGTAGGGCTCAGCCTGCAGAATTGCATGCTGGGAGGCGGGATTTTTGCTCCCGAGATTTTTAAACTCGACCACTTGGCCGCAGGCTGGGTTGGCTCAAACTATGCGTCCCTTGTTGGTGTTAGGAGCCGAAACTGGGTGGGCTCCGTGGGAGGAACCCAGAATGGGGGTAACCTCGGGAACAGCGGGTGAAGGACAGGAACTTGACGAGGAAGCATGATTTAAAACGAAGCCTAGTGTGGCGATGCAAGTCTGTGATCCTACCTGAGAGGCGGAGGCAGGCGAATCGGGAATTCATGATCATCTTCAGCGACATAGTGAGTTTGAACCAGCTTGGGCCGCATGAGACACTAGCGCAAAAGCAAGAAACTGAACCACAGGTTGCTGAAGCAGCCCAGAAGGGAAGTGTGCACATGGGAGCCGGAGTCAGCAGGATGAGGCTGCTACAACACTCCTGACATTTGTGCTTGTGAACACTGAGACACTCTTACCTGTGACTGTGTGGTCTGATGTGAGCTGCCTATGGGAACCAATGGGGCCAAGCTGCATGAGCATCTTTGCATGGTGAGGGTCTGTAAGGTGTGTGCAAGTGGACTCTGCCTGGCCACGGTGTCTTTTTAAATGTAAGCCGTGTCTTTGTAAATGTCGATGCATCAGTGGATGTGGCAGGTGGGAACGTGCTTGAAGTGCGTGCCTTCTCAAGTGAGCACCGCTGGATGTTACTGCAACTGGTATTTCCAAACTGCACCCCCTCTTTCTCTGACTTCCTCTTCCAACTTCAGGGTTAGCAGGGTATGTGTGTGGGAGCAGTGACCACAAGACATGACAGGCCTAGATCCAGACCCAGTCATAAACAAGACCCATAAGGCACAAAGACACAGGGAAAGAGAATTTTAGAGCCAGGACTATTTAGGTAGAGGAATTAGCCTGAGTGAAGGACACCTAAAGTGTTCCCGAACTCGGAATGCCAGAGAGATTTCTGAGACACTCAGATTCCACTGCCCAGTTATTTCTGATTGATTTTAGTGTGTACTGGAGGGAGGTGTGCTTTGGAGGGTGTTTCTCTACACTCACAGTTTTATCTTCCTTTCTTAGCTTCCTTCAGAAAAACCACCCAGAGGAGCAGAAAATGGAGCACATGTTAAAGACTAGGTTCAGGTGAGCCCATCACTTTATTCATTAAACTTCTTGTGTGGGCCTGCAGATGTCAGTTGGTAGACTACTGGCCTACCATACACAAAGCCCTGGCCTCAGTCTCCAGCACTGTGTAAACCAGGCATGGTGCTGGCCATCTGTCTTCCAGTACTTGGGAGGTAGTATCTCCTCTTCTTAAAATACTCTTGTTTTTCTTACCAAAATAGTTTTAGATCAGTAGAAAAACTGAAACTGTAGTACAAAAGACTTCCAGATTTCTCTACTAATAGATTAGCAGGAAACACTTGTTATAATTAATGAGACCATCTTTTTACTTTTTTGTCTTTTTTTAGACAGAGACAAGTGGATTACTGTGAGGTCTACATAGAGAATTCCAGGTCAGCTGGTGAACAGGGAGACCTGTCTTTAAAAAAATAAAAATAAAAACACATTTGAAGTCATGTTGTGGAGGTGGCTTAGTAGATAAGACTGTTTGCTTTGCAAGCAAGAGGATCTGAATTCAAGTCCCCAGCACCCAATTTTAAATCTATACTATAGCACACACCTTTAATCCCAGCACTTGGGAGGCAGAAAAACAGCCTTTGTAACAGTCGTATCCAACATGATACAATTCCCTTATGAGTAAGGTGTAGTCTCAGTCACTTCGAATTTACATTTCCCTCATGGCTAGGGATGTTGAATGCTTTCTTAAATATTTATTGGCCTTTATCTCCTTAGCCCATTTTTGATTGGGTTGTTTCTTGTTTAGCTTTTGTATTCTTTGCATAGTCTAGACGATTTTGTCAGGTGTGTACCTGGCAAAGTTTTTTCTCTCATTCTGTAGCCTCTATTAAATGATTATTTTGTGAAGTAGGAGAGGTGTGTTGCCTTGTATACATACCAAACACCCCTGTCTGCTCTGCATTTGCTTGGCTGGGTCTGTAGAGGCACTGTTGGCCCAGGGTGTGGCTCTATCCCTGAGAACCTGAGAAAGACTGTTCAAAAACAGGCCTTGTGTTCTTTCCTTTCTTGTTGTAACAAGTGCTCATGGATCAGTATGCTGCCCTCCAGAGGTCACCAGTCTGCAGTCGGTCTCACTGGGCTAAGCGAAGATGAAGACTAAACTTCTAGAAACTCTACAGCCATCCTGTTTCCCATCCTTCCTAGCTTCTAGAAGCTTCCAGCATTGTTTAACTGCTGATCCTCCTGTATCTTCAAAGGCAAGATAATGGTTTGTCCTTCTCCTGTGACCTCACTCTGACCTCACTTCTGTTGATAGGCCTTTCTTTGAATATTCCCCCTCACCTAATTTGGACATTATTTGGAATTAAATTGATCCCACCAGGATAGCTCTATGTGACTTCTCTCTCTTTCCTTTTATTAGGTAAGTGAAGTCCCTCTGCCACTGGAACTCCTTTGCCATGAATATAGCATGTTCCCAGGTCCTGAGCTAGGCTATGGTCATCTTTATTTATGCATTATCACTGTATATGTGTATGATTGTGGGTGGGGGTGTAGACATCACACCTGTACATAACTCATGCTGGAGGAGAGAGGATAGTTTTCATAAATTGGTTCTTTTCCTTGCCCCTTGAGTTCTCAGGATCTAACTCCCTTCATTAGGCTTGCATGGCAGGCACTAAATGTGGTCTCCTCTTGTTGTTGTTTTTTTAACTGAGATGTCTTTAAGTTATAAATATTATAATGAGGAAAATCCAGGTCTACAGAACAAAGAAATAACTAGAAGCTAGGAAGCTCGTAAAGAACATGAGGCCAGGCTGTATGGTACAGACCTGTAACGTCAGCTACTCTGGGAGTTATGTCAGGAGGATCAAAGGTTCAAGACCTGGCTGGACAACTTATTGAGATCTGTCTCAAAGGAAAAATTGCTTGCCTAGACAAACTGTAGCTTCAGTAACAAAACAACAGTGTCGAAATTACCTATAATATTACTATGCTGAATCACTATTACGTTTTTGTATGTGTTTCCAATCTTCCTGTCTTGTCCTTAGCATGACTGTTTCTGGCATTTTAGGTCTTGTTAATTAATCACGTAAGTGAATCAGAGATTCCAAATGTGTCTCAAGGGAAACCCTTGTCAGCTATTGGTCATGTTAACCCAGGAGCATGTGGGGAAACAGAGCTGACACGGTGAACTCTGTCTTCCTTAGGAAAACATCACATCTCTACTTTATAGGATAAAATGTATATCATTTGAAACAATTCCCAATGCAGCCAGCTAGCAAGAAACAGCTGGCTTGGGCCTGGAGCAATAGCTCAGTGGCTAAAAAGACTGTTTTTAAAAAAAGAAAGAAAGAAAAAGTCAGGGCTGGAGAGATGGTTCAGCACTGAAGAGCACTCTGGCTGCTCTTACAGAGGACCTGGATTCGGTTCCCAGCACTTGCATGGCAGCTAACAATAGTCTGTAGCTCGAGTTCCAGGGGAATCCCACTCCCTCTTCTGGCCTCAGTGGGTATTGCATCACATGGATGCACTTACATACATACAGGCAAAACACTCATACACAGAAAAGAAATATAAATAAATAATAAATAAATAGGTGGTTTAGATGGGGTAGGATTGAAATGCTTCTTTCCCAAAACCTAAGGATAGTCACTGACCCAATGCCTAATAAATAGAAACTAGAGGTGACATCGCCGTGACTACGCAGGTTACAGACACAGTTTGGGAAGTTTCTTTTTGTATTTTCATAGAAGAGCCATGCCAAGTTCCTCCTATAATTACTTTAATATCCACGTGTCCCCAAGTGGGCCGAACCACCAATGTCCCTATCCGTCTCTCAGATAGGACACATTATTTAGCCTCTCAATTTGGCATCTCTCAGATTAGCTCTAAGCTAATCTCTAAGAGGGAGATTCTTCATGCAGAGTCACACCCCTGTCTCTCTAACTCTTGTAAACTGAGACACATCTCTGCCTTACGCACCTTAGAATCTGTTTGGCTATACTGTTACTTTATTTATGGAACATGAACTCAAACCTGAGCCTTGCACCTGCTACTCTGTATAATGTTGCTCATTAAAAGAATCTCATGCTTACTAAGTTCAGCTCTGAAGGATTTTAGTTAGCATTGATTAAACTGCAGAATTGGGGGTCATGTACCTTAGCCTAAGAAAATGGAAGAAGCAGGCATTCATTTTTTTTGTTAAAAAATGAATCCAGAATTCCACACAGTGGCACATTCCTACAGTCCAAGTACTTGGGAGATGGAGATAGGATGTCCAAGATCCTCTTTGGCTACAAAGCAACTTTGAGGCCAGCCTGGGGTACATGAGACACACACACACACACACAGGAATTAAGGAATGTATGGGGTTACTGATCTCTGTAATTACAGCTAACTTACACAGTGCACTAAATCTTAGAGACAAAAGTATTTCTGATTTGGGAGTTTTTCAGATTTGAAAATATTTTCATCTGTGATCAAAAAAAAAAAAAAAAAATGGGACCAAACCTGGAGGCCCACACCTTTAATCCCAGTGCTTGGCAGGCAGAGGCAGGCAGATTTTGTAATACAAACATTGCATACCGGACATACATACTTCAGTTTACATAGATAATTCCAGCTTAGACTTTAAGGGTCAGAAGGCAAAGCTACAACGTTTTTGTGGGGTTCCTATGCAGGTTGTAGTGTACCAGGAAACAGGCAATGTTCAAGATGACCCTGCCGGAGAGCGGTTCCAGCCAGACAGGGCTTACACATGCGCAAATAGACCATGGCGCCCCATGATGTAACTGCTCACAACGCAAGTGTGAATGGACTCCCTAATGTAGTCAGGTATCTAGGTCTGTGGCCCAGTTGCCGAACTACAGGACGTTGGGGACACTGGTTGCCTTGTCTTTAGGATAAGCCCATGGGGCAGTGTAGGCAGAGTTCCGCTTTACGTCACTTCTGCTGGTTGTAATAGCAGCCTCTGTCCTCCGGCCTACAGGACATGGGGAGGATAGGACATGACAGAACGTGGGATGCTAGTGTTAAATTTTTGGAGAAAAGGAAAGATAGAAGATTAAGAGACAAGAAACCAGAGCCAGACCTGCAACAGGCAAGGAATAGATCTTCCTCTATTCAAAGATCAGTGAGGGGTAGAGGCTGCCTGGGAATCAAGCTTCTACAACCAGACAAAGAGAACGGGGCGGGGGGGGTTATACCAGAGTTGTGGGACACTGGTGCACGTTGTCGGGAGTTGAGTTAGTGCTGGGGTTTGTTGTCCTTGAGGGTCTCTTATCTCAGGCGAGTGAGTTACCTATGGCTCTAAAGGAGACAGGTGGGCTCCATAAAGTCTCAGTCCACGGAGTGAGCAGTTGATAAGACTTGAGCAAGGCCAGGCTGCTGATTTAGGGCCAGTTAGACACTTTAAGAAACTTATGGCTTTCCCTAATGAGGCTTGTGGCTCTTCTGCAATTCACACATGCTATCACCAGAATCTTAAGTCTTGTTAATTAATCATTTAAGTGAATCAAAGTTTCTGAATCTTAATGTCTAAAAGGAATCTGTGCCAGGTACTGGTCGCATTAACCTGTGAGCATGTGGGGAAACAGGGCTGACCCCAGTGAACTGTGCATTACTTTAGAAAATGTTGTGTTTCTATGTTATAGAATAAGACATACATTATTTGAAACTATTCCGAAAGCAATTAACTGTCAAGAAAGAATAGGCTTAGGCAGCCCATGGTGGTGCACATCTTTAGTCCCAGCACTCAGGAGGCAGAGGCTGTCAGATATCTGTGGGATCAAGGCCAGCCTGGTCTACATAGCAAGGTCCAGTCCCCTTGGACATTCAGTGAAACGCTGTTAAAGAACTATTATTAATAGAAAGAACGAAGAGCCAGATGTGGTGGCACAAGCCTTTAATCCCAGCACTGGGGGGGGGGGGACAGAGGCAGGTGCATCTCTGTGAGTTCAAGGCCAGCCTGGTCTACATAGTGAATTCCAGGCCAGCTAAGGCAGACGGGAGGGAGGGAGGGAGGGAGGGAGAGAGGAGAGGAGAGGAGAGAGAGAGGAGACAGAGACAGAGACAGAAAGCTTAGATGGGGTAGGGTTTGAATGTTTCTTTCACAGCCCTGAGGATAGTCACTGACCTGATGCCTAATGAATAAAAACTAGACAGGATTTCACCATGACTACCTGTGCAGGTTACAGATATGGGAACAAGAAGCAAGTCTGAGATAGATAAATCAGATGGCAAGGGTTTAAATGCTCCCACCATTCTCTTGCCCCAGACAGGACACGCTATTCAACCTCTTGCCAATGTTCTCAATTTGGCCTCTCAGATTAGCTTAAAATGAGATTCTTCATGCAGAGTCACGTCCCTGTGTCCAGTGGCAAGCTGAGAGGCACCTCAGAATCCAATTGCTGTGATGATGCTTTGTTTGTACTGCAGGGGATGGAACCAGAGCCTTGTGCCTGCTAAGCAACATAACGCTGATCATTAAAAGAAACTCAGGCTTAATGTGTTCAGGCTGTGAATGTTGTTTTTAGTTAGCATAGATTAAATTGCAATTTGGGAAGCATGTACCTTAACCTAAGAAAATGGGACCGGCAGGTTTGAAATTTTGTAAGAAATGAATCTACACTCAGGGATGGTGATTCATTCCTGTAATCCAAGTACTTGGGAATGATGACAGTAGTGTCAGAGGTCCAGTCTCCTCTTTGACTAGATAGCAAGTTTGAGGCCAGCCTGGGCTACTTGAGTCTTTTTCAAAACAATGAATTAGGGAATGTATGGTGTTTCTAATCTCAAAAATAATAGCTAACTTACGTTAACTTACACAGTGCAGTTTAAATATCTCATTTCCAAAATGCTTGGGAACAAAAGCATTTCTGATTGGGAAATTTTTCCAATTTGGAGATATTTACATAGATTTCCTGTTTAACTTCTGTAATCAGAAAACCCAGAACACTTTGAAATTTGAACATTTCAATTAGGAATTCTCAGCATGTATTAACTGTTTTATTTCATCACTGAGAGAGGCTGTGGACGTAGCTCTGTGGTACTGAGAGCACTGGCCTACTGTGAATAAGGCCTTTGTTTCCATACCCAGCTCCATACAAAAAAATAAAGCTTGGTGCACACATGTGTCTTGACATTTGTATTCTGTTTTTACCAATAATGAAATAGGTTAACAACTATTATGGCTGAGATTCACATGTTGAAAATCAGTCCAGGCATCTCCCAGATTACACATAGACTTTTTTGTAATTGCATTTATTTATTTATTTGGTGTGTGTGTGTGTGTGTGTGTGTGTGTGTGTGTGTGTGTGTTGTATACAAGTGACATGATGCGCAAGTGGAGGTCGGGGAACAATTGACTGGAATCCGTTCTCCCCTTCCATCATGTGGGTCCTAGATATCCAACTCAGGTTGTCAGACTTTGCTCTGTGACACTAACCTATCCATAGGCAGACGTGAACAAACATCTACTCACCCCATTACAGGAATTAAACTGAGACTGACCTGGTACAGCACAAAGACTCACCCATATTCAGAGAGCAAAAGGAGTTTTCCTTTATGATGCAAGATCTCAGTTTGAGCTCTTGCTCTAGAGAAACTGAGGTACTAACCAGAAATACATACAGGTATTATAGGATTTTTCATGTCATCCTTTGGCATTAACCATATTAGTGGATTTTAGACTTTTGGCACAGATCTTTAGTCTTGTAATAAATTTTAAACAGTCAGCATCTTCCAAAAGCAGATACACTGGGCAAGTATGGGCGAGGGTTGTAACATGCCCAGTAATGTGATATATTGCTGATGTCAGTAGAGTCTCAGCCATTTTGATAAATATGACACACTGCAGGTGTTTCCTTAAAACCACTGCAGGAGGCAGTATTTTTCAAGGTACTTACAGACTGTGGTTTTGTGGTTTTGTCTTTTATGTCCTATGGTAGCCTGAGACTCAGCTCAGAATGGAAGGTTTTTCCTTCTTACAACACAGGCTAAGGCTGAGACCTTAAAAGCCCCATTACAGCCAAGCATGTTGGCACATGCCCTTAGTCCCAGCACTCGGGAGGCAGAGGCAGGCAGATCTCTGTGAATTCAAGGCCAGCCTGGGCTACATAGCAAGTTCCAGATCAGCTGGGGCTACAAGGAGACCCTGTCTCAAAGACAAAAAAAAGGGGAGGGGGGACTATTACAAAGACATACCTATATAAACAAGCATCCTTATTATTAGGAGTAAATAATGTTCTTATCAAATATATTTGTTGGTGCCTATTCATCTACCACACACAACAGGGTCATTACATAGTTCATTAGTTTTATATTAGGTTAATTTCCCCCCATCAACCCCGATAGAG